CACAATGGAAACAGGTGGTCACAAGAACAAAAAACAAAAATATGTGATTTCTGTGGTTCGATTCAGACGACAGCCTCTGCGCCCTGTCCCCCTGCTGATTAATAGCCAACGCGTCTTGCTGAGCAGCCATGCTCCGCCACGGCTGGGGATTCAGACTGTGAACGAGGCGGTGGCTGACAGTGGTGAGCTATGTGCCGCTCCGCTCCACGGGAGGTAATGAATCGGTGTGGCTACCAGGACTGAAGTGTAGACAGCAGGAGGAAAAGAAGTGATCAGTCTTTGAGGGTGAGGTACTACTTGTCCAGCATGTGGGCCAGTGATAGCAAGATAGAGACAGTGGAGCATGAGAGGGAGAAGGAGGAGGAGGTGAGACGAGATAAAGCTATAGCCCTGAACTGCTCTTTTTTGTCAGTTCCAATCTGACTCTGATGCCTGAATTAAGATATCTACAGACATTGATACCAATACCTTAAGTAGGCTTCACATACAAACAGGTGTTGTAGGTCAAATAGCTATAACACCTCTTGTAATGTTTTGAAAACTTGAACAGAAGTGCACAGCAATGCTTTATCAAGCAGTAAGAAGATTTCCATACATGAGCTCAAAGAGAATTTCAAAAAGTACAGTGTTAAAATTGACGACCTTCATGAGGTTTTCAAAGTGAATATTTGAAATAAAATTACAAGGACTGTGTAGAGAGATTAATATCTACACTATCAAAAAAACCCATCAAATAAGTAAAAACAACATGTGACAAGCAGTTGCTATGGTTACCACGCAGAGTGTTTGAATCAGTCTTTTTTTGAAAGCACTGCAAGTGGCTCTTTCGGACAACCACTCGACATTCATGCTGGCCTAGCTGACTGGTGTCTTTGCAGCTATCGGAGGGGCATTCTCCACATTAAAACTGCCACTGCAAAGGAAAAGGCAAGCCATTTTTTTTGCAGTGAGGTGTCACAAAGGTCTTCTCAGATGGTGAGCGACAGTTCGCCTGCTTACTGCTGGGATCCACTGGGACCTCAAGCTCCTTGAGGGAATAGACAAGCACTCTGTGAGGGTGGCAGTGGCTCAGTCCATAGGGACCTGGCTTGGGAACTGGACGGTCGCCGGTTTAAGTCCCTGCAGGGATTGAGAAAGTACATCTTCTTCTTCTTCCTTAAATGCTAAGAGCTCTATGTGTTGAGGTCAGCATCAGACCATAGCCTCTCGACATTATGCTTCCTACACGGACAGTTGGACTGGCATGAGCTGACGCAGAATCATGACAAAGAAAAATCTGGATCTTTTGTAATTTGAGTGGGTTTCTCCTCACTTTAAACCAATATTCTCCCAAACTGTAGGGGGCAGTGTAGTAGAAACTCAAGTTTACAGCATGGTTTCATTGAAGAATCTACTGCGTTGATCCTTGTCCATGTAATTAGGAAATGTCAAATGTGCATGGACAGGCAAAAACCCACTCACCTGATGGTACGACATCACTTTAGTCGTGTAGACACTCGTGGATGCGTCAAGCATAAATCAAGCATATGGAATCTGGACTGGTACGTGGCTCTGAGATGTCAGTCTGACACCAGATGTGTGACTTCAGTATCAAAACCCCGTATCCATATTGATTGGATTGGTCCCAGCTCTAGCAGAGATGCACTGATATGGATTTTTAGCTAATTAGCTCGTGCTAACACTCCAGAGACGATCCTTCAGTGCAATGTCTAACCTGTTCTGCGGTCAGAGATCAGACCCCTGGTGCAATCCTGTTGTCTTCCTCTGGTACTGTGAAAGACGTCCACACCGCAACATGTTTTGCCCTCTAGACAGCATACTGCTGTTGTTGTTCTTCAACATGTATCGCCACCTGCTGTGTGTGTAGATGCTGCCCTTGTTTAGTCAATGAAAGCAGTCTGTCTTTGTACTATCGGCCCTATTTATTAGCTATGATGTTAATTATCAGAATAATGCATAATTATAGAAGTGTCCCATTATTGACCGATAATATTGACCGAAACTGTGAAGAGAGTTTTTGAGAGAATGGAGCACAGGCAGAGAGGGTGCAGTGGGTAGGAAGAGAAAGCATGTAGAAACAGAGAGAATATGAGGCTCCATATAGATGAAGAGAAAGAGAAGGATGTGTGAGAGGGTGGGCTGTCACCCAGTCTGTGTTACCGTTCCAAGAGAAATTCACTCCCTGTTCCCCCACAACACTCCTTAAACCACCGCAGAGGGGGTTCATTATTCTCACTTTACTCCTCCACTAATTATCGTTATCATTATGGGGGATAATTACCATTTCACTGCCTAACACCCATGTAGGCTGCTCGGCTCTGAGTCACACACAAGGTTATCAATAGCTGCTCAATTGCAGCCTCATCTGCCTAATTATACGATTTGGGCTTTGTGATAAGTGAAAAGGATGTGGAATCTAGTATTATGCTTTGTGAGGAGTGGTGAGACTCGGAAAGTCAGCAGAAGGCCCTGAAATAAACCAATGCGTGTGGAGCCTGTTAATTAAATGCTGTGGCTTTCGCTGGAATATAAATCAGAGGAAATCCAGGGTTATGAAACTACTGGAAGCCTCTAAAATATCCTGCAAGCTGGTAGAGAGCTGCATTAAACAGAATCCTGTGAGACGTAACTTCAGATCCTTTATCTTTGATTGCCTGTAGTACATTTCTCAAAGAACTTCTACATGTTTTATTTCATCACTCGGATCCACTTTCAATTAACTTGTGCTATTAACACCAGTTCAGTCAGAAATATCACAATATTAGTGACGTGCAATTGTTCCCCAGACCTGTCTTACAGTCGCTGGCTGTGACTTACGCAAAGCTTAGTAGCCGTGTTTGTCGAGGGGGTTTCTAAATCCCTCCGTGGCATTTTGGAGTTGCAGCTGACGCCTCGAACCCGACGAATGCTCTCTCCATCTGCTGCCGCTCAACACTGGAGCACAAGACTGACACAGGCCTAATCAGCAGGAGAAATTCATTAGACCTGCCCTCTGTCACACACACACACGGGGAGAAGCAGAGCCGAGATGAAGTCTTGATTGGAAAAGAGGGCACAAGGGCATAGGTACAGAGGGTAAGAAGGAGGTGACAGCATGAATGGTTCAGTAAGCGTATGATAGACATTTGGGTCAGACTGGTGGAATGTGTGCCACAGAGGACCCCATGACAGACAGGAGGCACATTCTCTTTGACCCCAATTACCAGAGGTGTTTCTTTCCACCAGCTAATCCGTGGCGTAGAGGGCGGCCCCTCCTCTGTACCGTGGAGATTTGCTTTTTCAGCCTGTTTTCCCGACAAGTCATACGGATGATGGCACAGTTTATGAAAGCTTATGAAACTACTTGCAGTTTCTACCTGAACACATGGATTGTATAAATGTGGGTCTTTACTACTGCTAATACTATCATAATGTCTCCTTTTTTAATCATTGATTTTGGCTGGCAAATAACTTTTTTTGTTCATCTGCTGGCTGGTGGATTCCAAAATCGTCCAGTCACTCCATTACAATAGATTACTATTGTTTTTTAGGCTGGTGCAAGAAACAAATCTTGCAACCATTTGCATATTTTACCAGCATTTGGCCGGTGGCTGGTGCTAATTTCCTACTCTGTCATTGATTTACGCTTCATGCTTTACTATTTACGCTTCGTGCTGCTGCAGCTCTTTTAAAATCTTGCTTGGTTTTATGATTTATAGTTTTACAACTCTATGATTTTATGCTGTTTTATGTTCGCTCTCTATTTTCATGTGAAGCACTTGCACTATCCTTATTTTAAAAGAACTTTGTGCTGCATTTCTTGTATGAAAGGTGCTATATAAATAACGTTTTTTAATATTATTATTTTTGATTACTCTGTCATAATGTTGTCACAATACTGGAATTTCTAACTTTGATATGATACCTTGAACATTTTTAATTTTTTTTTAAAAATTTCAATACCATGGGGAAAAATTGCAACAATTTTGAGGGCATTGAATTTTAGATTTTTATTAAAAGATAAACAAAACAAAGCTATAACATGACAGTGACTTTTCTTTTCTTAGCTAGTAACAGAGAACAACAGAATGACTTGTTTACATTAATGAAAACAATATTCCTCTCGAAGTAGTGCACATGTTCAAAAATAGGGATGGGAACTGATAAGATTTTATTGGTACCAGTGCCATGATCGACTACTTTAAATGATCATTTTGCAGATATTACAAGCAGCACTGTTGTCATCTTTCTTCGTGAAATAAAGCTATTCTTTTGACGGTTTTTCCCACTTAGCAATGACTCCTTCTTGTAGCAAGTTTCCAGCAGGGTAGACAAATGAGAAAGGAATTGATAAGCAATTTGGGACCAGTTTTTAACAGGAACTGATTCTTAGTTCTTAGTTCATCTTTTTTTAAAAACCTATGAGATTGTCACACATTCAAACCGCAATAAAATGCACGTTTTCTTTTTTGTTGTTGTTTTTTAAAAAGTGTGCAATATTATATATTTTTAAGCAACAAATTATTATTCTCTTGAACCAGAATTTTCACCTGATAAAAAGTTTACATGATGAATCAGTTATCAAGATTGTGTTTGATTTTTTGCTGATTGACTAATTTTGGAATTGACTGACCATTTCACTCTAATGCCTTTCTTTAATTAGCCTAATAAAGGAAAGTAAGACCTCTCGAAACCTGCGTATAGCCCATTTCTAATATTCAGAAATACGTCGCCCTCCTGCTTATATTCTGCTCTTTAAAATGTTTGTCAAGAAGAAAAACTTCAATTGATTTTTTTGGTTCATTTCTGTTTAATGTCTTTTCAATATTGAGTTCTCTGCTGTTTGTAAGACAAAATATGAAGATATCACCTTCAGCTCTGGGAGTTTTCTTACAGAGCAAACCTATATCCTGCCTCTCAAAATATTTGTTTTACTCAAGTGGTTTCCATTGAACCGCAGGAACTATTTCATGTTGTCAGGAGATTAGCTGACCACCGTCTCTCCTTACTTCTTCCCACAGAGACACTTATGGACTCCACTACAGCCACAGCGGAGCTCGGCTGGACGGTCTACCCCGTGTCAGGCACGAGTGACAATAGCGTAAGTGACGTGTTCTGCTTGCAAACTTATCTGCTTCTGATGGTGATGATTTAATTCAGTTATTATTTAGGTAATAATCATATAATTGCAAGTAATTTTAGGACATTTTCATTGACAAAGACGAGGTGTGTGTGGTGGTGCTCTCTTTTGTTCGATGTAAAAGTGCAGCTAATGTGTAAATTTGCTCAGTCCCCCGTGATAGCTTTATTTCTGTTGGTAGCCAGTGTTTTGGTTTCTCACTTTAAGGTCAGAGATCAATTAATGAGCTGGCCTGGTCCCCAGAGGGAGCTAAATCGTTTCCCCAAGAAAGAACTCCAACTGCAAAGTTAGACGTGTTTATTTTGGGCCTGTGAACTCCACATAAGTAGATGTTTGGAGAGGAAAGGTTTTTGTTGGGTGAAGAATTTGAAGATACTGCTTCTTTTCCTTTTTGGATACATATTTCTGGACTCATACATTTTTACCCCTACACTAAACCCATTTTTTTTTTGGGTTATTCTTTCATGAATGATCTTGGTTTTGTATGTTTCAACCTGATCTGAACTTTCTGCTTCACTACAAACACAGTAAGAAGGAACAATCATAAACTTGTAGCTAAACTCATGTGTTCACATGCCAGGCTAGAAGCTATGTGTTATATGGGCCCTGTTGGTGTTTGATGCACAGTATTTCCACATGCTTTGCCAGGGCATTGGTTCCTCTAAGCCACATGCAAGCCAGGCCCACTTAAAGTCAGCCAAAACCAGAGTCTCAGTCTCCTTCACTTCTTCCCCCACCACAGGATTTAGACTCCTTAGAACGAGTCCAAAAGAGAGAAAAAATGTTGTAGACTTATTTGCTGGTGCATTTCAAAAAACCACTGCCGATTTTATTCAATTATTTATGCTTCTGTGGTTTGTATTAAAGATGGTTCGAATTATACTTTATCATGCTGTGTCTTTTTTTTTGCACTGACAAAAAAAAAGAAGCAGAAACTCGCAGCGTATAGAGCCGGCCCTTCGACAGTTCCACGATACGACTTCAAAGTTGTTCAGCAGTAATTTAGAATAACTTCATCTCTCCCCAACCTGAGGGCACGTTGTCTCCTCCCTGCTATTTCCTACAATCAATACCAAAGCAGAAAAAGACGCCTGCTTTCCTTTTCTCTCGCCAGCTCTGGATCCAATTTACACAGAGAGAGCTTACGCACACATACCGACTCCAAAGACAGTTTACATCACATCTTCCTTTCATCTTTGCAAAATGTTCGATTCAGCAAAGCATTCACCCAAACCATATTTTATAATCTGATTTAATACTAAGTGGAAACTTCAGACTAAAAAAGTTGAATGGACGCAGAGTTCACTGCTGAAAACTACTTTGTGAAATGAGAATGCCCACTCAGGCCAAAATGAAGTGAAATTAAAGTCTAAACATCAAACTTAAGACCTCCTCAAGAATCATCTTTGTTCCGTGTGGTGTACCGCCTGATCCTGTGGTGGTTTTCTCTTCCAAATCAAACATCTTCACATTGAGTTCAACTGACAGGCTTATCTGTGAGGACTCCTATTTTTTGACCTTAGATAATGCCGTGCTCCTTTTATGAAAACCTCCATATGCAGTTATGATATATCCCCCTCTTGGGGTGCAATGAAATGCAAACAAGTCCCTAAGCCCCTGGATTTAGTCAGGTATAGGTTTGGTCTTATCAGCGTGGGCACTGAAGTTTTATGATGATATGGCAGAGCTTGTCAAAATCACAGTCAAATGGAAAGTGAAGAGTGATAGCGATGGAGATAGCTTGTCCCTTATGGCCCAGGGCAACAGGTGTGGAAACGGAGCTCGCTCTCGCTCTCAGTATAACAGCGAGAGGTGCTTTACAGAAGCTATTGTCTTACACACATATATGCACGGCTTCACGGGCTTAGCCGGTGGATCAGTAACATCCAGCAGAGCGCCGCAGCAGCAGTTGGCTTTCACTACTCTGTATAGCTTCATGAAATATATCCTAACTTGACATGTGATACTGTGAGACACAATGGAAATGCAATCAAGTAACAGTGTGATATTAAGTCAGAAATGCGTTGGCAGTTGGTGTTATTCCGCTCTTTTATTTTACAGCACATTTGAATATCCTCTATTAAATTATTATTATAAGAAATCTCTTGGTGCACAGCTGTAGAATCAACCTCCTACAGTAGGTTTTGGGAAGCGATTTGTGTAAAACTGTGTAACAGCGGAGCTTCCGTAAATCAAGTTTTATAGCTCTCTCTGTGTACAGCAAGGCAGTTCTTCCTTTTAATTATGTAAAATGACAGCTAGACTTATGTTGTTCCCGAGCCAGACAAGCAAGACATCTTCATTGTTCTTGATTGCCCTGCCGAAAACACTGACAACCAACGTAATATTTACCAAACCAGAATTTTATCCCGCGGCAGTTTAGGAAGTTTACGGACTGAGTGTTCTGAGATTCTGGCAATAAAACACACGTATCACATGCCTCACTCCACCCACACAGGGAAACTGATGCAGTCAGAGCAGTTTGACTGTCATGTAGACGTGTGTCTCTGGGCAACTTTGTAAAGACTTAACCCCATGTGCACTATAAGGATATAACTATGGTAATGCGTATAGATATTTGGCGCTGTTTCACAACAGATTTGCATTTTGGTTTTACAGATATTGATCTGCAGAATACATTAAAAATGTATTTGAAGACTAAAAACTATTGCTGCTAGGGCTTTTGGAAAGAAACTTGTGCAGCCCCTTTAATATCACTCTATGTGAAGTAACTTGACATCTTGAACCATTGTACTGTGTGACTTGGAGCTAGGGCTCAGTATCAGCACTTGATACCATTGAAAGGACAGTTAAAATCAGAAATGCATATTTTCCCTCTTACCTGTAGTGCTGTTTATCAGTCGAGATTGTTTTAGTGTGAGTTACCGAGTGTTTGAGATAATGGCCATGACGATGTCTGCCTTCTCTCCAGTATAATGGAACCAGTTGGCACTCAGCTTGTGGTGCTCAAAGAGCCAAAAAAGTACTTTTGAAAAACTCAACAGCAGTGTCTCTTTCCAGAAATCATGACCCAGTTACTCCAGATAATCCACAGACCTTGGGTTGGAAACTAGCACCAGCCAACAGCCAAATGCTGGTGAAATATGCGAGTGGCTGCTGGATGTGCTTCACTCACCAGCCTAAAAAACAATGGTAATCTATCAGGTGGCTGGTTGATTTTGGAATCCACCAGCCACAGTGGCAGGTGGACAAAAAACTGATTTGATATTGGAACTATTGTCTTTTTATCCAACTACATCCACCAATTGTATCACCGCCCAGAAGTAAGCGTGCATCTACTGATAGCTCTTGGCTCCACTGAGCAATCTTAGAGCTGCACACATTCTGCGTCTTTAACTGCCTCGAAAATGCAAGGTCGGGCGCTGGACGCTACTTTTGTGCCTTTTTTGTGCCAGTTTTCGAGAGCGTGGTGATAGGTTGCGTCTGAGATTGCTAAGCAACCTTAACAAGCACTGTACTATAGCTTGTTTACCTGAAATCCTGAGTGCAGAGCTGATCTTCTTCCAGGAGCTGTTTATAAGTGTGGGACAGATGTAAAGCTCAACACGATCAACTTTTCCGTATTTATCACAGACTGATATTTATGGAAGAAGGTGAAAGATATCTGTCGGCTGTGATTGGTTGGTCCTTCTCACATGACCTGTGGTGTGTGCTGCTGCGTTCCAAAAGTTAGACTTGGTTTATTTTTGAGTGCAGCCATCGCACCCTGAAAACTAAGTGCTTGGGAGCGTGTGTGTGCTTGCCACAAGACTACATTGAAAACAATGGGTATGAGGGTGCAAAAAAAGCGGCCCCTAACATTACAGCTCAGCAAAGGAGTCACAAGCATGAACCTCTTGTCCCTGAGTAGATGCACGTTTCCTTCTGAGTCGGTGGGTGTAGTTCAGTAGAAAGAAAATTGTTCCTACATGAAACTGCTCACAACAAGGTCTGTGGATTATCTTGAGTAACCAGGTCATGATTTCTGGAAAGAGACATTGTCGTTGAGCTTTTCAAACATATTTTTTTGGATTTTGAGCACCACAAGCCGAGTGCCATCTTGTATCTGGTTATCTAGTATCTAGGATCTAGTATATACTACTTTTTAAATCTCGGCAAGTTACACTGAAATATTGATAAATTGCTTTCGACATAAGAGGAAAAATAAGTATTTTTTTTATGTGGGGCGAACTGTCCCTTTAAGGTATTGAGCAAAATAACCCAGTACCAAATAGTATTGAAGCTTCTCAGGTCAAACAATAACTGCATTCTGTTTTTTTGTACCTAAATCTAGGAAAAAAATATGATTTGTATGGTTTTGCTTGCAGCCAACCACTGCAGATGTTTAATTTAATGTGATATGTGATTGGCCCACTACCACAGCACCTACAGCCCATACAGTCTGTGGCGTGGTGAAGTCAAGCACGGGGTATTTGAGGGATTTGGCAGTTCAGCTTGCCGAAATGCCACCAAAATGTTGGAAAGTAAGACTATACTTCATGCCTGTGGCGTCTGCTGGTATTTTACACAACTGAATGCTTCCATTCACGATGGGTATCAAATGAAGTAGAAAAAAAGGTATTGAATTAAGTACTCTATTGGTACCAGTGTCACTCTGAGGGTACTGGTATTGAATTATTTCAAAACCAATACCCACCCTCACATATGGAGCTAATGTAGAGCCGGATAACAGAGCAGGGTTAAGTGGTCTGTGTTTTCTTCTCAAGTGGAGCTGAGAGATGTGTGAACATCAGGTCAGACCTCCTGACCCGCTCACTCCTACGCTCAAGTACCGACAACAGAAGCCATTTAGAAATAGACTTATGGCTGCAGGGAACGCACTGAGCTACTGCGGAGGGAAAGCCGAGGTCTCCTGCAAATGCGGAAAACATAATAAGGTGTTGTGTGCGTGGGTTAGGTTATCATTATGGATGTGTCATAATGTACCAGGATATAGCCAG